GGTTTCTTAAAAAACTAAAAGCAGAACTATCATACAACCCTGCAATCCCACTACTGGGCATATACCCTGAGAAAACCATAATTCAGAAAGAGTCATGTACCACCATTTACGTTGCAGCTCTATTTACAATAGCCAGGACATGGAAGCAACCTAAGTGTCCATCAGCAGGTGAATGGATAAAGAAGATGTGGCACATATATACAATGGAATATCTAAGTCATAAAAAGAAATGAAATTGAGTTATTTGTAGTGAGTTGGATGAACCTAGAGCCTGTCATACAGAGTGAAGTAAGTCAGAAAAAGAAATACCGTATGCTAACACATATGTATGGAATCTAAAAGAAAACAAAAAAAGGTTCTGATGAACCTAGGGGCAGGACAGGAATAAAGACGCAGACGTAGAGAATGCACTTGAGGACATGGGGAGGGGGAAGGGTAAGCTGGGACGAAGTGAGAGAGTGGCATGGACATATATACACTACCAAATGTAAAATAGGTAGCTAGTGGGAAGCAGCTGCATAGCACAGGGAGATCAGTTCCATGCTTTGTGTCCAACTAGAGGGGACTCATAGGGGAGGTGGAAGGGAGATGCAAGAGGGAGGAGATATGGGGATGTAGCTGTATATATAGCTGATTCACTTTGTTATACGACAGCAACTAACACACCATTGTAAAGCAGTTATTCTCCAATAATGATGTTAAAACAAAAAAGTGTGTATCTGTTAATCCCAAGCTCCTAATTTATCGCTGTCCTGCCTCCCCCCTTTAGTAACCATAAGTTTGTTTTCTATGTCTTTGAGTCTGTTTCTTAAAACAGATTTTTTGTGTATTTAATTCTGCTCTCTTATTAATGTTGTAGAGTCAGAGATGCAGTCTTATGAACCACTTTATCAATGGAAATGAACAACAGATGTTTTCAATGTTAGCAGACTATTGGCAGCATATAAATTGGCAGTTCATTGGAGACCTTAAGAACCTGGAAAAGTTTAAAATTAATGACACTGAGGGTTCCGACCCACCCCCCAGTCTGAAGAAAAATGGTGGTGAGAGCATAACAAGGTGTTTATTTTGGGTATAAACTGTTCTTTCATTTAGCAAACATTGTGATATGTTTATAAAGACACAAGAGAAGTAGACACACCCAGAGTGGTTTATAAGCAAAAGAGCTCATAACCATGGTATGGAAGAGGCCTTTTCTAGAACTCACAGAATAATCTCTCTAAAATTTCATTCCTGAAAAGAATAAAAGTTTTTATTGTTAAGGAAATGAGAGACCTAGGTAGTAACCATTGTTTCTGTAGATATTTGCTATTTTGTGTCCTTTCTAAATAGTTTGTCATCTGTGCATAGACCATTATTGAAATACAGGACATTATTCAGAGCTGAAGGTGCATATATTTACTCTAAATACTTGTCTTACATATACAGTGCACATATGTGGTTTTCATCAGCTTTAAATATGCTGGAAATTTCTGCCTGGCCCCTTTTGTGAATACCAGCCTCGGGACTATATGTGGTAACACAATTCCAGAAACTAGTCTTAAGAGATCTGTGCCAGAGCAGGAATTAACATGGCAGGCTGAGGATGAGGAAATCATGGCTAATATGTGTTCCTTTTGCCTTTGGGTAATGCTGTAACATAGATTGCTGTCAAGTAAATAGAGCCCAGTTTAAAGACCATTTTGATCAGGCAGTTAAGGAAATGACTAATTCCTTTTCATTTGGGCTGCATTGACTGGCGTCAGTATTTTCTGTAGTTTTTGTTCTTTGGATGCCTTGGGCTTATGAAACAAGCCTGGACTACTTGAAATGGGTGTTAAAAATCTAAAGATAGGGTCCTCGTTTAAGGGTCCACTGATCTTATTACTCATTTTCCAGAAACACCCCTGGCTCTGATCATCTTTTTTTTTTTTTTCTTTGACATTTTAGCTACCTGATATATTAGATCATCCAAATGAAAGTATCAATTGGATATTTCCCCTCCTTCCCCTTCTGCCAATACCATGTTGGCAGATGAAAAGAAAAAAAAGTGGTTCAAAAATATTTAATGGTGAAGTCAGATTCAACAGAAGCAGAGGTGGAAGAAAGAAACCTAACTGCTCCACTTTGAACACACATGTTTTCCATACACGGTGGGTTTTCTTCAGTTTTCATAATTACAATTTCAGGCAGCATCCCTCCACTCCAGGACAGTTATCCATGTGTGGGTGACCCATTTCCTGTGCATCTCCTTCCTCCCACCCACCTCTTGGCCACATTAATGCTACTTTGTGTCACAAACGATACCACAGGTGGCCAGAGCAGGTTTTGAAAAAGAAAAAAATGAAATGGAAACCTGTCAGGGTTGCTTTGTGTTAAATTAAAATATTTGGTGAGGAGAGGCCCAAACTCTTGGCTAGAATGAGACTTACAAAAAACATGGGCATTTTATAAATCTACACTGTTTCTTTCATGATCTGTTAACCAAGCATTAGCTGGCTAGATATCTCTGGCGAGGTCGGAGGAGCAAGCATTTGGCAGATGTGAACGTGGATATAAAGTGGAGAACATGCCCTCACTTCTGGCGTGTAATCGATAAGCCAATATTGACTGAAATCCTAGATCAGACTTGGTTTAATGCATAGTCTTCTAGAGGCTTACAAAGGAGACAAAATTCACACACAAGATTCAACACTCAACCACAGTTCAGCAGAATTCAGTAAGTTGGGGTTGGACTGTGTAAAACAGAATGTGTGTTGTGTGTGTGTGTGTGTGTGTGTGGTGTGTTGTGTGGTGTGTGTGTGTGTGTGTGTGTCTGTCTCTGTTCATTCCTAAGTTCAGGGAAGGGGAAGAGCTAGCCAAGTGGGAGGCAGTAGGTCCTGAGCTGTGCTCCAAAAACTGGGGAGAGAGGGGAGAGTGGAATCGGATCAGTGTAGTAATAGATGGTGGTGCATGGCCTCAAGCGCCAGAAAGAAGTCAAGAGAGTGACAGAAAGTTACAAATGTTCATAAAATATATAAGCCCCTATTTTCAATGAAATTGATATTATCTGTGATGAAAACTGGGTACACCATTTGTTAGAATGAATCCATAAAACTACTCAAGTGTGTTTATGATGTTTGACAAAGGTATTAGAGGTATAGGCCACTAGTTAGCATTTGATTTTGAGGGGTAAAGTTTGGAAACAGGTGAGCTTCCATTTAGGTTAAATACTTAAAATAAAAGTCAAGTCATGGCTACAAAGCCTGGGATGACCTGACCTCTGTTGCCCTTTCTGATCTGCTTCCCTTTATGCCATTTTCCTGCTCATCCACTAAGCTTCATCTAGACCCCATCTTCTTTCTGTTTCTTCAGTGCACTAATCTGTTTCTCACCTTATGGTCATTGCTTATGCTGTGTCCTCTACCACGACAAGGTCTAAGCTCTTGGGCAAGCCAGCTCTTTCTCATCAGTCATATCTCAACTCACATTTCACTTTCTCAGAAACTGGGGTCTTTTCTGTCCATCGCCCCCACCCAGAGAGGTGTGTACTCAGACTGCTCAGCATTGACCGCCGTATTACCCTCTTTAATTCCTTTAAAACATAAGGAGTATTCTGAATGGCCTTGCTTGTTTTCTTTATCATCTTTGTTTCCCCTTTAGAGAGGTCATGAGGACAGGGACGTCATCTTCCATGTTCACTGCCATATACCCCAGCATGTAGTAAGTGCTCAATAAAGTATGTGTTAGATGAGTCGGTGGCAGTGGGGTCTCCATTACGCTTACAGCATACAGAGCTCATGTTCCCTTCCCTTCTTGAAGTGCTGAACTGTTACAAAGCAGGAGGAAGATTGTGAATGTTGTGGACCTGGGGTGGCTTGCGTTGCCATGGCAGTAGGCTACGGCACATCCCTTTTCCTTTGTTCCTCTGCTGAGCCTTAAGAACCTGGAAAACACCACTCAGAGGGATATTTCATAGAGATGGACTTTGAAGGGGTAATTGTGTGGGTTGGACGAATGCTAGTCAATTATATCGGGAAGAACTGCTGGTTTAATTTATTTATTGATGTGTTCGTATGTTGTAGCCATTGTGGAATGAAATCACTACACCTGATGAGCTAAGATTCGATGCCTCCTCAGCCTGCCCTTTGAAGCCCTCACACACATTTTCCTGTGCCTGTCCCCTGTCTGGACCCTGCACTCTTCTCTCCCTACTCAAAGTAGCACTGAATAAGTCTGTTGGCTCCCTACCAATTATGAGACAACACTCATTGTTAATTTGCTGAAAGAAGTTTGAAGAAACTGTTATTTTTTTCTCATTAATGGGTTTCTCACAGCAGTGGCGCACCTCTGGCTGGCACCGTACAGAAGCTGCCGAGGTTTTTTTACAGCCAGGCTTTTCTAGGTGCCTGTTTAAGAAATTATAAGGTATATGTTCTTCAGTTATCTAGTTTGGGTTTATAAATGAAATGCTACAGTGCCTTTTTATGTGTCATTAATACATGCTAACAATAAAGTGGTGCACCCATTATTCTGCTGTTGAGATATTCTTTCTTTCTTTATTTTTTTTTTTATTTTTTTTTTTTGCGGTACGTGGGCCTCTCACTGTTGTGGCCTCTCCCGTTGCGGAGCACAGGCTCCGGACACGCAGGCTCAGCGGCCATGGCTCACGGGCCCAGCCGCTCCGCGGCATGTGGGATCTTCCCGGACCGGGGCACGAACCCACGTCTCCTACATCGGCAGGCGGACTCTCAACCACTGCGCCACCGGGGAAGCCCGAGATATACTTTATTTATCATGTTTTTCCGAAGGTATTAGAACAGGGCAGAACTGGCAGGAGAGATTTCTGTCTTGCTTTCCTTCCCCACATCTATCCTTCCTCCCTTCCCCTGTTGTCATGTTGGAGATCTGTGCTCCTACTTGAACAGACAATCCACCAAATTCCTGTTAATTTAATGCATTGTCTTAAGAAGTAAGTGATTTTCCAGCCTCCTCACTATTTGGTAATCTGCAACGTCCAGTTCTCCCTCTTACACCTTTAGCACTGCAGTGACAACACACATCCCTGCCAGTCAGACATGAATATCGAAGGAGCCTGGAAGAGAGGCTACACGGGAAAGAACATCGTGGTCACCATCCTGGATGATGGCATTGAGAGGACCCATCCAGACCTGATGCAGAACTACGTGAGTATTTGCTGTGGACAGAGCAGCTTCCCTCCTGGGAAACAATGGAACTCATGTTAGGATGCTCCAGAAGGGGGAAAACCACTGAAAAATGCAGCCAACGGGTACAATAGGCTCTGTGTGTTGCTCCCATCTTATAAAGGATGCACTCTTGGAGGACAGGAAGCAGGAGGTAAGGCTATCCCGCTCTCCACTTTTGTGTGCCTTTGATGTTCTGATGACAAAATGCAGGTGATAAGGTAGCGGAAACCCCAGCACCCATCCCGTGTGCTACTGACAGCATCCACTCTTCTCAGCAATTCATCCATGCAGCCAGATAGCACTCCTTGTTTCCTTTATGGAGAAAGCGTGCTTAGAACTCTTCTCAAGTTATTCTGCGAGTCTCTTTCTCTCTCTGCCTCTCCCTTTTTAAAGGACAATAATGAACAGCCTCCCAAAAGTCCTTAGGATTCAGTCAATTCCCTTGCTTAAGAAAGGACTGAGATTCCAAGACTCAGAACATAAGGTGAGCCCAAGGTCACAGAGCAAGTGAAAGGGCTGAGACTCAGTACTTTCATTGAAAACCACAGTCTTGATACCCAGTGCCCACTGGACACTGGGGTCGGTTTCCGTCCCTGGGGTCCCCTTTACCACCATGATATTTCCTGCCGGGAAATAGGTCAATGACCCCTCCCTCTTCTACTCTCCAAACGCCTCCTTTCCATCAGGTTCTTCCTAAGTTTGGTTAAAAATACCATAATTATCTCCCCAAATGCCATTCTCTGCTCAAAGTTGTTTCTCATGACACCTTGGTGTTCTCCCTAAAATATCTCTTTTGTTACTTAAGAGCCTGCAGTGACTCCCTCTAATCCGCAGCTGCAGCTCTCTGATTCCTGTCAGGACTCAGCAGACACTCCTGCTTGATCCCACTCACACCAGTGCCTTCTAAGCTCTTTTCTGTAGATGACTGCTTCCACTAGAGCGCTGGTATCACCGCATACCTACTAGGACTTCAGTCACTTTGACCTATGTCCCTATCTGTTCCTTCATAACTCCTTTTAATCCCAAAACTTTGGTTGTAAGAGTTTTCCTATATTGTATTTCATGTTGTTGTTGAAAAAAATTTCAGAGTTGGTGGTCTTCTCAAAGCTTACAAGTTTCCTCTCACAGCCTTGAAAATACAAGCTCTAAATCGTAATGAAGCCAGGACTCATATTGGTCCTTAAGGAGGAAAGTCAGGGGCCAGGGTGGGAAGCTTTGCTTCGTGTTTACGGAAGGTGCCCACAGAAAACCCTAGCTATAACTGGGAGGACCACATCCCCTCAGATTTTTCTCTTCTCTATTCTATATTCATCATCATTAAGGGAGCAATGTCAGGAAGCCCAGCCCATCTCACGTTGCACTGAGCTTGTGGAGAGTTCTGAGAGGGGCCTGGCCCATAGCTTCCCGTTGCACATTAACACAAAGGACTCACCATCCTCGCAGGCCTGCTGCCTTTCTCTCCTCTTTGCTCCCCGGTAACTGGTGGACACAGCAGTGGCCCATTTTCCTGGACTCACTCAGAATGGACATGGCCTTTTCCTTAAGGCGTACGTATTGTCCTCTTGAAGTCTGCTATATCTCCC